TCTAGACTATCTGATTGATTTACATCCCAAAAGTAAAAGTGGGAAAGTATGTAAAGTTTGCCAATGACACAAAAAGTAATTGTAACAGGATTTGCTGCAATCAAGAAAATTGGCCTAAGATTACTATAATTTGATAAATAAAGATCATTCTAAGATCAGCTCGATAAAAGAGACATTTCCAGCTTTGAATAATAGTTTGGTGTGGGTCCTTTAGGTGTGAAAATATGCTTATTTAGATTCTGTGCTTGTAACTCACTAACTGATTAAATAACTATATCTTTATATAGTATATATATATATATAAATCTATGAAGTTAATTTAAACTGAAGTACTTCTAATTTTCGGATCGAAATGAAACGTTTATGTTCTTTTTAAATTGGTACTAACAACTCTCACACGCCCACTACTGTAACTTCTGTACACCAGGATCAACCCACGAACACACCGAGTTATGACACTTGGGAAGTTCGAGGACAAGTAAAACTGTCTGGAACCCGTAAAGAAATTAAGCAGAAGTAAATTGGAGGGGTGAAGGAGACCAAATATTCGTTTTATGCTAAATTTATAATATGCAATACCATATGAACAACACTACTACATAGCCACAACCGGTGTTTATTTTTAGCCGTATTGTAATAGCCGTCTAACCGTGTCAAGTTTGAAAACGTCAAGGTTACTTTAAACGCAAAAAAGTTACTTACACAAAAGAAATGTACATAAATATCAGATATACAACAACCACTGTCACTAGTTTTAAGTAAAAAAACTGAATTTATCTAATATATATATTTTTACTTTCGTACAATATATAGTGGTAATTGCAAATTATACGTAATTATACAATACTGTTTACTGCATTTCATTATATTTTGTTTATAAGGTTTTCTTTTTCATACTTTTTTTATCCGCATGCAGTTGGTTATCTTAAATCCCTTATATTGTTCAGACATAACAAGATAAATAGATAGATAATTACGTAGTCAGCGGCTGTTATACTCGACAATCATAGATAACACAGTCGGGTTTGTCAGTTGTTCATGCAAAAAATGCTATAAAGTCATAGATGTGTCACTTTAACGTTTTCATTTCAGTTAATGTTGATTTTGGTGACCCGTTTCAATTTAATGGTATATTTCTATTTTAATACAACAGTAAAATTTGTATTTCATTTAGTCTTTGCCTGGTGAGCAGTTATTTTAGATCAGTAAACGAATATACGTAGTCTAGCCATAAATACTGCTACAAAAAACATATAATTATGTAATATTATGTTTTTTTTTTTAATTTTTGAATTTCGAATCTGCCATTACTATGTGAATGATCATTGTGCTGTCTCATTTCGTGCCAATCGGTGTTAAATATTTTTGTGATATTATACATAGAGTGAGTTGATAAAGATAATCGAATTGCTGTGATAGCATTACACAAAATAGGTATGGAGCCAAATTCCATTTTTGAAACTCCAGCCGCTTGGTATTAGTTCTATGTTTGTGTACAGAGCTATTGATAGGTATATGATACCTCCTCTGCGTGTGACAGAAAAAGTTCACGTAATTTTAGTACAAAAAGTTGATCAAAGCAGTGAAGGAAAGAATTTGTAGAAATCCTTTCCGAAAGCCAAAGATATTAACTCCTGAAATGAATATACCTAGCACCTAGAACCGAGTCGCGTATTTTAATGATGTCTTAGGACTTGCAGCCTATAAGAGACTTACTGGTCATGACTTTTTATTTATTTTTTATTTAAGAGGGGGCAGACGACCACACGGGACACCTGATGGAAAGTGATTACCGCCGCCCATGAAAGCCACTCTGGAGTCACAAACGCGATGCTGGCCTTTTAAAAAGGAGTACGCTTATTTAATTGATAATTTAAAAATAAATAGGGTTATAAAATCAAATTAACTTCTTAAGCGGTACGCAAAGGGAGGTCACAGAAATAAATATTTACTGATGAGAAAACATTTACTATTTAGTGAATAGAAGTGATGAAGTAGATTTACCTTTTTTTTTATGCGTCGAAATTCTCTCCCCACCGGGCACGTCGGTGTGTCAGAGTCGAACCAACTAAAAATAACGGATGTGAAATATATGACATAGTAACAGATAGCATAATATCACTTGAAATAACGTTTATAATAACATCATATAATTTTCATATGATATAAAACAAATAGCCGGATTTCATGGGATATAATGTTATATTCCATATAACCTTCTTTTTCTCTCTTAACATTTAGTATAGCTTCATTTCATGTAATTCTCAATGTGTATAATGGTCTTATAATATATCGATTATTTGAACTGATTTTTATATTTACTCATTTTCAGCCAAAATTCTGTAATGAATAAGTAAATATTAGGAAATTCTAACCTAACTTATGCAACAATAACAGAGGGGCGGCCGCTTCGCGCGTTAAAATGGCCACTGTTTTAATCTAACCTAACCTAAGAAAGTAGACATTCCCAAATCTAGTAGTATATTATTTAAATCGTAAATTATAGATTTCGACATTAGAGTAACTCAATATTATACTAATTGAATATTAATTTAAATGTGTATAAAAAATATTCATGACCTAAACGATATAAAATTAGGTAAAATGAAATTATATCAGTAATTCATTATATCATTCGATCGTTATATTAATATAAGTTTACATAAGGAAATTGGGCCATGTGATCATCATCAACTTTTGTTATATTTCAAACGTCACACGTGCCTAAAACCACACGTTGCCACTCTGCCCGGCCTGCAATAGAATGGATCCGGGAACAGCTGTTATTAAAACATCCGGAAAATTGTTGGTAGGTATGTGGGAAGATTCGTTTATTTACTTAATGTAATAATTTCTAGATCGAGACACAACCTTAAGTGTCTGTTACATAACATATGTAACTCTCATACGTAAAAAACACAATATGAATAGGTAGTTAGGTACACGCGTGAGTTATACCGCCGCTTATAGCTCATACAATGTCTGAGTTGACTAGAGGAAGTGACGCATGTATAGAAGCGGTGACAAAGTTTTGGTTTCATATGCGCCATATTGTATGGAATTATCAACAATGTGATTGTATGGTTAAGGAAAACTATATATACCTACACATAATCTGTATTTAGATGTATATGTTCAGTATTGTTTCCAGAACTAGTATTCATTGCAATGATGTTACATAATGTATGTATATGTCACCGTTAGATTACGAAATATGTTAATATGTTAGGTAATCTGCAAATTACCGGGTATGATTGGTTAAAGTGGGAAATATCAAAAATTTAAAGTAGCAGATATCTACACTTTACCTAGTTAATCAGCAAATTAATGGATGCTACACAGTTAAATCGCAGAAGACAGTGAATAAAAAACTTTTGTCTTGTTTTCTCGGTTACCCCACAACCCGACCAGTACTTTCGAACGCAACATACTGTTATAAACTCATCTAACCCAAATTAGGGATCTGGCGCTATAATGGTCATTGATCTTACCGAACCTTACCCGAACTTAACTTTACCGTCTGTTTGTTCTTTAGTCTGTGGATTGCCTAGGAAGTCTGCAGATCATCTAGTAAATTTAAGAACTGAGTCATTTTTAAACTTTAAAGGACCAAACCAGATAATCTACAGATTAATAGGTTAATCTGCACTCTAACTGATTTACGCACATTAGCGGTAACACGTGTGTAAAGAAATTATAATATTTATCGAGTCACGTTTGCGCTTATGTTAAACAAGAATGCTCACACTTTAAAGTATAAAGGTAGCAGTATCTAGTTAAATATGCCTATCTATACTAATATAATAAAGAGGAAATAGTTGTTTTTTTGTTTGTAATAAATAGACTCTGAAACTACTGTAGCGATTATTAAAATTCTTTTATCAATATACAGCTGCATTATTACTAGCGAGTAACATAGGCTATATAAGATCACGTTACGATCAATAGGAGCGGAGTAAGTAAAATGTATTATTTTCTAGCCTCTAATTAATATTGTGGTTCAGAAATGCTTTGCATTAAAACTTCTATAGACAGTAAGGAGATGTATTATGACAGTTGTGGAAGTAGACCTACTTACTATTAGTTGGTGAACGTTATAAATCTTCCACAAAATAAAAGTAAAATTTGAGCAGAAAAAAACAAATGTGAATTATTTTTTTATATGAACTGAAAAAAACCTTATTAATATGATCGAGATTTAAACTTAAACTGTTGGTGTTTAAAGTTAAACCGCTGTGGCATTACTACTACACATTTATCTTTAGCTAAATTTATTTATTTATATTTAAGTACATATATATGAGATAAAATGATATAATGTATAAAAACTAAAACATGTCTTTTGACGCATTACTGGCTTTAGTACCTACACCTTAAAGATGTGGATAGTTCAAATTACGACTGAAATATTGTAATCATTTAAAGGCAAGGCAAAAGAAGGGAGAAGTGATAATGTTGGCAACGACTGAAGGCCACTTTAAAGTATTCGATTTACAAAATGTTGTGCTAGCCAGCGGGAGCAGTAGAGTCCAGCAGTAGAGTATTATCTCACTACTAATTTAAATAAAAAGTAGAAATAGAAATGGATTATGAAATAATATGGTTATCTATTACTGGATGGTTTTAATTACCGTGTTTTGATTATGCCATGATTCTGATGTATATTCAGAATACTTCATTTTTAACCGAACCCAGCTTTTATCAATACTGTTGAGAGCATAATAAAGAGGCATTGACGTCAATCCATTACAATTAGTTATAATATGTACTATGAAAAGAGGAAAAATTTCGCAGCACTAATATAACAAGTTACAATATGCATGTTCCCACATTTAAATTAAAAAATCTAGTGACATAACCGCATATTTTGCGTTAAAGATTGCTCTTGTCATCTTTACATATAAATTTCATAGTATAAATAGATTTTTTCTAAAAGGGAAAATGTGATACTCTTCTATATCTATCATGTACTATTTCACTCACAGTTAAAATTAGAATTATTAGTACTCACCGTGCCAGCGGTATCCTTCGACTTCTCCAAACGCCCAAATAAGTCGACACTGGAGATCAACCACAATTTGGTTTGTCTTCGGAATGAATTTTATTATACGTTGAGTTAAAAAGTATTCTAGTTGCTCTACGTTTTCAAAATCTAATGTTCCCATCAGACTTCCTAAAGCACCTTGTACAGCACAAATATTTTTGATAGGAACTCGCATACCGCACTCTAAACATCGCCAGGCAGTCGATGAATTTAATGGTTCGATGGGTAGTAAATAGCCTGGACACTCTGTCGAGAAGCACTTAAGAGCACCAAGTAACGTGCCACGTTCAGTGGGATCTGCACAACGGACACATTTACAAAGAAAATGTTTTGTTTTATAAAGATGCGTACGACGTGCTGGAGTACCCCATAAAAGTCCTGTATAACATGACACTATTTCAGTTCCTGCTCTGATAGGCTTAACAGCTGTTACTGTCATTTGATGGTCAGCATTGAAGTTGTGTCTCGTATTTGATATACAACAATGATTCATCAATCCCGAGACAGGATATAGACCGCGCCAACTCGTTTGCTTGCTACCATACGCAGTGGCAATTTGAAATGCATTAGTATCGAGGGCACAGCAGGCCATCACCAAGAGCTGCTCTTCATCATCTGGTACATCGAAAAATTCCTTTAAGTGCTGAATTTCAACGCTATGTTGAGGAAAATTGTGAGCTTGAAGTGAAGACATTAATATCCGATCATCTTCGTTTAATAAAAGCGATCTTATTGGTGTCAGTGCCCGCGACACAATCGATTCGTCGATATGATCAATGGATGTTTTGTTATGCCAGCGAGAAATGAGACTACAGTCTTTATAATGTATGTCAGTATTCTGACAATTTTCTGAACACAATGGTAAGGCACATTTAAAACATTTGAAAAAAGTATCACAATTTATTTTGCCACAAACGGAACATCCTCGTTCTATACGTGCACTAGCACGCGGGCCATAAATCAGAGGATGATCAACGAATATCACTTCTCCAGCACTAATATCTTCAGTGGCGACAAGGCCACGACCACCTAACTGTGATTCCTTGATAGTCCATTTACACAAATAGTGTATATCGTCGTCGTAGTTGCACAGGCCGAGGTGTTTCTTCACCATTTGCGACAATTGCTCCAACGACAACATCCTGCCGCGACCCGGCCGATGACGGCACTGCACTGCGCGCTCTATGTGAATATTCAAATCAGCTAGTTTGATAACAGCCAGGCGATGATCGGTTATGTATTATATCGCCAAAACGTAAGCGATCTTCTCCTCAATTAACCGAATCTGATCGAGGTACGCCGCCGGTGTGGAGACTAGCACACGTTCGTGACGTATTATTCATAAGCGTTGCCAACTCAGCAATGTACCTATATACTATCAGGTAATTTACGTACAAATTGTACAGGTATCTGTTTAACGTTCGTGATGTACAATATGCGAATATAGCAGTTAGTTGAGCCCACGGAACGGTGTGAAAAATGAAACTGTGACATCTGGGAAAAATTGAAATAACTTCTAATGATATAAATATAGGTGGAGTCCAGATAACTATTTTTAAATCAGCGTGAAGTAAATATATAAGCAGCTACGGTGTACAGGTTAAATATACTAAAATATTTGCGTTGTCGTATTTTTCTTACATGATGAGAACTATTTAACTGTCCTTTATTTATTAAACTTATATTAAAAAGACAGGGTCCAGTTTAAATATTATTTTGGATACAAAAGTAAATACACTATTATATCTATTTGAATTAATTTGAGAATTAAACGAAAGGTTTTCACAATAATTTGATTGAACGTATAGTTAAATATGTAATAATAATCGTAGGTTTTAAATGTTGTAATAATCAGAGACCATAGCACATTTTATATCTGTTTGGGATTGTGTGGGAGTGGTTGGGTATTTCTAGTAGTATGTATCGGGTAGTATGTAAACAGGATTTTTCCTCGTAACCCATACTTGACTGTAGAGCAAAATTATGGAACCATAAAAAAAGTGATAATCTTTGTTTTAGTAACTTGTGTGTTTAAGTTATTCTGGTAATTGATATAAGGTTGAAAGCAATAAATTATAGCTTAAAATAATATTTCCAATTCAATTTATTTGTATTAATGCCCTTTATCATATTTGATCACAACAGTTCTCAGGGATAACAGTGAAGTTGTTTGTCGGAATCGAACCTACTAGAAGTACACAGTGTACCGTCACCGATGGCCTTATTACCGAAGGTCCAGACATAATAAAATCACGAGAAGAAAGGAAGCAATGGTTATGCAGCAGACTAGACAGTTTGGCCATACCTGGAACATAGCTTTTATTTCTATTAGGGTAAATGTCACCTCAAACCTCATCTTTGAAGTAGGTCTTAATCTATGACCTTTTCACACTATATCCACAAGGCTGGATATCAACAGGTAGTCTCTTCTAAGGCGCGTGATTACCAACGTTTTAATAAGTGTGACTCTCAATTTTTACCATTACGACGACGTTAACGGAGCATGTCATGACTATTTTAGTCAGTGCTGTATTTCATATTTAGTGTTATAGGATCCAAAAAGCACATGCTTTAGTTACAGTTCTCCCAGATACTATTGTTCAGGCGCTCCGTATCATATGTTGTTGTTATTCAGTAATGGTCATAGGTCTCTCCCATTTCGATCGATTTTGGACTTCTCGCATCCAGATCTTGCATGCCATCAAGTGGAGAGCCCTATGTCCAGCAGTGGACTGCTATAGGCTGATGATGATGATGATTCAGTAAACATTAATAGCATGATAGTACACTGTCACCTAAAACCTTTAATCATAGCTTAATTCACGTAAGAACAAAATTAGACACGTAATCAGTATTGGTGTCGTTGGCTTGCATGCCTAACGCAAGTTCGACTGTTTCTGGTCTTTTGTAATGCTCGTGGACATGGAAGACTGTTCTATTAAAAATATTTGAGCTCCCGATTCTGCTATTTCCTCGAGTATTCATTTGTCTTAGAGTTTAACCAATCTTGTTTGTATGAATTTAATAATATACAGTATAACAAAAATTTCAGTTTGCGAAGCACACTATGCCTACATTTTTGAGTTCGCCTTAGTCAGTGCTGCAGGACATACCGCATGTTCACGCCCTCGATGTCGCGTACAAAGTAGCGACGGGGATTGTAACAAGATCCATTCCTTTTATAAACGCAAGTACCTTTGCGCTAGTTCGACCACCTGACCAGTCTCTGTAACAACTTCTACTACGTGGACGCTTGTCTGTTTATCAAAAATTTTCTAAATGCGCAGTGTACATGACTATCATCTTGTAAACTTTCCTCTTGGTGCAGAACATCAAGTGATTTGTTGGCCTTAGTCGATCGATATGCAAAATTTCTTTGACGATCTTCAAGATGAATGTCCTTGGTATTATTTTGACGGTTCTTACAAAGTGCTTCTGGGATCGTGTCTTTTTGTATTCGGTTAGTGTTTCTTTTGTTTAATATTTATACAGCGCTAGATTATGTGAGATTGATATAGTATGTGTAAAGACATAAATTTTATTTTACAACTTGTAGTGTTTATATACATGTTAATGTGCTGATATAATTCAATAGGTGTGTTCGGGGTACTGCTCAACGGTTGGCTTTTTGCCACATTCATTCACAGTCACCTACTCATATTCAGGAGTCACATATTGGTACTTAATTTATGCACAGCGTCACTCGGTCGAAATCTTATCGGATTTCCATTTGCAGGATCTTCAGCTATAGCAAAAAGGTAAACTGAACATTCCTTTATAAGATCACAATCAACGATAGATAATAATTAGGTTGAATGGATAAAAAAATATGACTGTAGAAATCTAACAAATTACGTACAATTTACGTGATAAGTATGTATGTATATGTGTATGTATGTATTTTAGTACGTTTCACAGGAAAGTTCATGTGCAACGTACTGTTAACCGTATTGATCACGTTAGATTTGGACAAGATACACATATAATTTCACTTACTTGCCACAGTTTACAAGACCAGGTTAACTTCTATGTCTTATTGGCCCAGTGCTGTAAGTAACAACGCCTGTATCGTATCTCAACAAAAGTAACGTTTAAGTCAACTCTTAAAAGTTATTTTAAATAGTTTAAATATTAGTATATTTATATTATAATGTACGTTTAAATAGTTTTAATATATTATAGTTTAACTGACTAACGTATAAAATAAATCTAGAATTTCCTATATATTCTTACAATTAATGGAATGTTTCTATCCCCGGCATCAATTATTTAAAAATATGTTATTTTAAAAATAAAAAGTGATTCCTTCTTTGACTACGTTTCAGATGGCTCTTTGGTCCAGCGTGCTGCCAGCTTTTTGCATTTTTAAATCAATTCTTCGGTGTCTTTCAAATGACTGCTTTATTTGGAGCTGTGTTAGAGCGTTATTTACTAGCAAGAATCTATAGACGTGGTTTGTACACACATATTTGATGTAGTTTCTCCTCAATTTAGATCTAAAATCTCGCTAAAGGTTTAGTATAGATTGCTTTCTTTTGCTGCGAGTTGACCTCAGGTTTTCAGGCAGTCGTAAAAACATTGACAACAAATATTTTGGCTACAAATTTTGCGTTCTATAAATATTTTATATAAATTTCGTATTGCAGAAAGAACGCTTTATTTGCGGTTCTATTGGACATTGATTGGCGTTAGTTGGGTGAACTCGGTCATATTTGCAATCCCCCCATTATTTGGATACGGAAAGTATTCTTGCGATGCGACTGGCACAACGTGCACGTTTCTCTGGCCATCACAAGTTTCTGGAGCTAAACACATAGGATTCAGCCTACCCTACTTTATAGTGTGTGGGGTGATACCTGTTATAGCTATGTAAGTTTTAAAAATACTTAAATTTTTCTAGCTCCAAGAATATTGGACAAGTTTAGAGTTACTATAAACTACTGCTATCATTACGTATAACATCAATCATCATATATCTTCATGTAATTTATCAAAGAAGAAATTTATACTTACCATCCCTATTGATAGATTGTAACTATTGTTGGCAGATTCTATTACATGGGCAAAGCAGTTCGTTTGGAAAGAATATTTTACAAAGGCGAAATACAAAGGGAGCAGAAGCGACTAACGCAGGTATTAAAATAAAAATGGTAGAAATGAGGGACATGCTTGTAACAATGGGTTATCTGAGAAGTATAAACGATAAATAATTTACCATACCATTTTCCACATAGCATGAGTTTAGTGACTATTTGAAGTTACTAGAGAAGTGATGATATACTTACAAAATGTTAAATTTTTCATTTTTTTTTGTATAAAGAATCGATTTTGTGTGAAAAGTAAAACAGTTTTTTTTTTTTTTTAGCAATTAGGTTAGTAGTCAGTTTTTATTTTTATTTTTATACCACATTCACACAACGCCATCTAGTCCCAAACTAAGCAGAGCTTGTACTATGGGTACTAGACAACTGATATAAATACATATATACTTTTTTTTTTGTAAATACATACATATTATACATAGAAACACCCAGACCAAATCAAACATTAAATGTTCATGCACGCAAATGCTTGACTTGAGCGGGAATCGAACCTGCAACCTTTGGAATAGCAGTCCGTTACACAAGCCACTACGCCATTCGGTCGTCAATTCAATTCAATTCAATAGGTCATGGCGGAGAAAAGTTTGAAATATTGTTTCAGATAAACAAGTTTTTTTTAAATAACACAGGATGCAAACGAGTAGACGGGTCACCTGATGCAAAGTGACTACAGCCGCCCATGAATACCTGCAATACAAGAGTTATAGATAACTCACATGTCTTAGAATTTATAATATTTAAAAAGTAGTAGTATAGTTCTTTTAATTTATACAGATTATTTAGAAGTGCCTGTTGTAATAAATTAGTCGTTTAGAAGCTGGTACTAGTACCCTAAACGTCTTTATCACCTGTATGGGATTTATCCTGCCATTACGCTTCCTGATAACAAATAAACTGGTTTGACTGCAGAAGTACATAAGGGGTATTTTAATTATAATAGCCTAACAAGCTAATCTACCAGTGTCTGAAAAGTATGATGTGATTAAAAAGATGTTCATTTGCTAATCTTTTTTTTATTTCTTTGAATCTCAGCAAGTAGTTGTCCTTTGAAAGCTAAAACATTTAAGAGCTATTACAGTTAAAGATGCTTTTAGGTGGTTAAAATTTAATCACTTTATGTACAATTCGACAAACTTAAAAAGTTTGAATACTTTGATTTATAATATACTGCAATAAAACGAATACGCAAAGTGGTATTTTTGAATCCTGTTCATTTTCTGACTATTCACCTTAATGACTTTTTGTCTCCCTGTTGAAGAGAAAGCAGAGAAAAAGGAAAGATATTCTTGTTGTAATTTTACTTAACGGCACGGCGGTTTCCATTCGGTTGCCAACAATTTAAAGAAATATTATTGCCGTCGTTTCTACAAGCAGGTTTTGCCCAGCACGATATACCAGATTTTATCTCAATTGCAGAGCCTGCATACGCTGTGTGTTACTACGTTGGCCTTATGGATTCCTGCTGGCATCTTAGTAGGATATCAATGGTTACCGTTACTTGTGTATGGCTACAGAACTCACGTGCCACCAGCTTTGGCTGTGATAGCACCTATAGCGTCAGAGGTAAGATAGTTTGTTTTATTATATTTTTATAGTTATTTATTATTATATTCTCAGATTTTATATCCTGGAAGGGGTAGACCGAGACGTAATAAGCTTAAATGGCTGTTTGTTTTAATAAAGGCGTTTTGTAAATATTTCTGTATGCTGGAAACTCCTTCAATTTGCCTAGAAAATTCCAATTTGCTTATTAACTGGTACCTGCCTATATTTGATTGTAATTTAATGAGTTAATTAAATTCATCTTCTTCTCTTCTTTGTAATTTTCTTTTAACCTTTTAATAGAAGCTGCAATTCAAAGTAAATTGAATAAAAGTATTTAACTTGTAATAATGGTAAGCTTTAAAAATTTGCGAGATATTCCCGACTAAATAAATGTTATAAAAACGAAGTATCTACTTAAAATACTTCCGTCAATGTTTCTCAAGTCAAGCTTCTATACCATTTAAAATTATATAAAGTATGAATATGATGGACTTTATTGAATTCCAATATTTCTTCTTCTTCTTTCTCATTCATCTTCTTTATATTTTTTTTATTAACAACACAAATTTCAGGCTGCAACCAGTCTACCTGTGCTATGTTTTATCGCTGGTGACGAAAGACTTCGTGCTGCACTACTTGGACGCATGCGAAAACATTATGCTCTCCTTCGACCAGAGCGTGCCAAGCGTTACAATAGATCCTAGAAATACAAAGGAATTTTGATGATTTTTTTTATATATTTTGCCACCTTTTGATTCTTGGTCGAAGGCTCTGCCGTTGATTTACTTCGCAAATGAGCAGCAGTTCATGATACTTACTGTGTACACAATTGAAATGTATAGTTACGCTTAAAATAAAATTTAATTTTGTAATTCTATTTAAAAATCCAGTATTTCATTTCCACCTTGTTTTATTATAAAAACAGTAGGTGAATAGTGTAGGGTTTAGCTACACAATTCTTCTAGCTATTCTATAGAGTTAAACAATAAGTTAAGCAGAGCATGACCGAACATGTAATGCTGACAACTTAAGATGCAACTTGAACTTCTGGTTTGTCACATGATGTTCTGATGTAAGTTGTCACACATATTCTAACTAGTAAAACGTTCGTTAAATTTTTACTTACTTTTTATTGTTCTCTTAATAAATAATCAGAACATGGAATTAAACAGATATAACGAGAACAATATCAGTGAAAGTTGTGTTTGGAACGAAATATTCAATAATGAGGAAAGAAGTCTCCCGCAAGAAGGTTTCTTGTCAACAGGTAAAACAATATTTTATATGTAATAAAATTACTATTTTAAACTTACATCCTATATAAAAATTGCAAGAATGATAAAAGAATACGTGAATAATTAAATATCCCGTATTTTTCTTTGTCATTGTGATTTCTGGCAGCTTATCTGTTGCCACATTCATCTTTGGGATTAACATACCAAGAGATATGTTGTAATTACTATGCACATATTTTACTTTGTTTTTGTTATGTCAATTTTACGGTAGTAACACGCGTAATTTTTTATCGCTGTTCTAACAACTTTCAACTTTAGCAGTAAGAAGGGTTATGAAATTACCGGTGTTACTACTACTTGTAAGATTGGGAGTAACACGGGCAATGATTTTGCATTTGTATACAAATAAACTTGTCAGTTGCCAGTTGTATCGTTCGCACTGAATAGATGAACCAGTATTTTTTATCCAGTCAGTAGGTAATTCAGTGTCATAGTATTAGACATATGCTTTGTAATTTTTCAGTGTTTCTGTCGATAATATTTGTGAACAGAATAGTCACAGACAACCAAGGACTACGCTTGGTTGTCTGTGACTATTCTGTTCACAAGTCTGCGGTTTGATCGAAGTTATCGCAACTTAGCTAATTTTACATCAGTTGCGTGCATCAGATGAGCCTTGCCATTGATGTTACATCTTTCCTTTCTCAGATGTATCGAAACGTAAGTCCCGACATATTCCATGTATTCATATTAAAAGGTTCTCTTATATAATCAATAGCGTTACAATTTTATGCTCTGGACATTTTTATTATGATTTCAGTATAAAGTTTCTAATAAAACGTTACGTTCTTTCACTAAATACGATTATTTTTATTGACGTACCCGTGTAGATGAATAACATAATAGAGTTTCGTTGAACTTCATCGCATTATACATCCGGAATAGTTTGCCTAAAAATGACATATATTCCTTTTAATTGTACTTAATCACATTTTTGTATATTATTATTTTATGGTTTGGAATTTATTTTTATAGGTTCAATCTGGTTCAAGCTTTGATTAACATATGAAATTATAGAATAACTGATTTACTTTCTTTAGCTGTCTTTAGGTTTTTGAATACTCCCTGAAAGCACAAGAATATGCTACCAACCAGCTTTAGGTCTTTAGCTTATAGTCACACAAATTTAGTAAAAAGTATGTTTTAAGTTCTAGTAAATCTAAATACAGTGTATATTTTTGTTTCGTCGAACTGAACTTACATTGTTTACGTTACAATTTGTGCCACACTTTCAGTTTGTATGTATTTCAAACATACTCATGTGAACTTTTTGGTTTTTACGAGACATTTTTGTCAGTGTTCGAGGTCGAATGTCTAACGCATGTATGTATTGAAAGATATGTTCTTGCAAAATATGTCAGTAACGGTAAGTGGGTTTTCGATTTATGTATTCATTAAATGTGACGGGACCATTGGTACAATATGTTACAGACAGATTTAGACTCATTTTAAAATAGTTATTTCTAGAAAAACTGGATGTAAAACTTATTTTTTGAATTTTTTGAATTTGATAGGACTAAAGAGATCATTGTATGGAGTATTGGAACGAAGTTCTTCATCGCGCGTTGTGAAAGGGGGCTAGACGGAAAAAAATCTCACGAAAAGTTGAAACGACACTTTTTATTTTGAATTGTCACTTGTCAGTCATTCAGCGCCATCTATCGAATAGATAGGAAATCATTAGTTTTCATCTCAGTAAAATTAAAATTTATGTTCTTAGGTTGAGCAAAAAATATTGTATTCGACATCATTTCTCAAGGAGATTTTACCAATGTATAAATTGTTTTAATTAGAAACCAACTGAAAAATATGTAGGTAATAGCCGCTTTCATAGATGGCGTTGTAATTAAAATCGTGTCGAATCAGTTTTACTCGATCGTCACAACTTCGTTCCTATCGGGTGTCCCACGACACCACACGGCTTTTTTTTTGTGTACATTTTACCTATAGTTCTATTGTTGTTAGCCTTTCTGCTTGCGCAGTATGTGATTTAACTGTAAATTCTGTATTAAATATTATATTATTATGTATTCTGAATGACAAAATAAACTTTCCATGTTAAAATTAAGAAAATATGAAATATGACTGAGGTGCAGTTGTATTTTTTAAACATGTAATCTGTAACACGTTTTATAGTTTAATTATACATATATATATAAACAAAGATCTTTAGAAATGAAATAATTTTCTCCTTGTATGTATATATTTTATCATACTAGAATGTTTTTTTATAGGTTGGCAAGTGAAACAGAGCCATTACAACTTATATTTCTATCTGTGTCTATTTTTTTCTTGTTTATACTCTGCACCACTATTTGGAGTTTTGAGTTGCACTTTTGATGTCATTCTGCCCAACACCTGGCAAAAATACCTTGTTATCGCCATTTTTATTCTTAGCAGTATCAAGCCTACTGTGGTCATGTATGTACTTAGATATATGTATTTATTTTTTGCACTCCTTACCTTTTATTAGTGCAGTAATTTTTGCACAGTTAGTATTAGGAATATTTTGAGTAACAATAAAATTGAAAGAGTAAGAAATAGGGTCTTAAAGGACTACAGTCTCTTAGGCGAAAGTGGGCTAAAGATTGTTAATAGCTTTAGGAGCCTAATTTCCTAGGATATCCTAGATTCCTAGGATTAAGTTATACCTTACTTGATTACGAATGCAATTTATGTTACATGGTATTTGTGGAACGTTCCTCGACCACTTGTTTAGAAGCAATATGTTCCTTGACCAGTGAAGAAATGTTGAATTTGGCTATATTTCGTGCTTAAGTTTTCGAAATCAGCTGCAGACGGAGGTATAATTGTATTGTAGTTTAAGACTAATACCGAATATGATTTCGTGACAATGTTTGAACAGTGACTCTTCGATACATATTTCAGATATAACTTCTTATTATTACCTTCTACCAGATACAGCAATTTTTTTTAATTTGGACAAATTAGAAATTAAAACTTTCTGATAAATATTGCTAATTCTTTCGTATTAAGTTTATGTTCTTAAACATCCTTTCTAAGGAAAGACCTATGTCCAGGAGCGGACTATTAAAGGCTCTTGATGATGATGATGAAGCTTATGTTCCCTTGTTTGCCCGCATGTAAAACAATGAAATATAGTCAATTAGTTCACATTGCATTGTGTTTATTTCTTCCTTCTGCACCTTGTGGAACTTCTACTCCTCCGCACTGTTATGTGACCGCGATTAAATAATGCACAAATTCTGTTTGTTGAAGTGGTTAGAAAATGTCATTCATCTACTACCGTAAAATGCTAAAAGTAATTTTATGCCATTACGGGTCTTTTGTTGTGTTCAACTCTTTAGAATATGCCTGAACTTTTATAGCTGAGTGAGAAAATTAATGGCTTTAAAAATGACGATGCAAATCTGAAAAATGTCGCTTAAATCAATTTCTGCTTTTTGAGTTTCATAATATAATAGTTAACCTTAAAATTGGTGGTCAATATCCTATTCATGTATGTGGATGGCATGAATATTGTTCTGTGTATTTGTATGGATATTGTGACGGCAAAACTATTCTCATTAACAAGTGCAATAATCTCACACTTTTAACAGACGACCGTCAGATCCCAAACTCCGCAGAGCCTGTACTATGGTAGCCAAACTGCCGATAGACATACTTAAATATTTTTAAGAGAAGGAAAACTTGAAACAAATCCTATACCAATCCGTCTGGCCAGCGTGGTATAGTAGGCCAAAACCTCCTTTCTGAGGAGAGGCCTATGTCCAGCAGTGGACTAGTAAAGGCTGTTGATGATGAAAACCCAGATACAGAACAAAGGATCGTGCTTTTCACACAATTATTTGTCCTGGGTGGGAATCACTAACTAGTAGATCAATAGGCCCGTCAATACATTATCTGAATTGAGTTTGTATAAGTTGATGACTTAGTTTTTGTAGTCACTTTATTTTATTTTATTTCACATCGATTAGCTCTCGACGGCGAGCGCGTTTAGTAAAGATTTCAGTGCGGGCCAATCGCAATGTCAATTCAGGAAGATTACAGAAAACTACAGGTGGTTTATGTATCACTGCCATCACTCGCTTTGTAATACAATGTAGATCAAAATTTCTATAAATAATCTTTTTTATATATAAACCATGTACGAGTATTATTGTGAGATACTTCCTTTGTAAGGTAAACCGGTTCTGTCGGTTCTCTCAGAGTTTATCCCTAATGCTGTTTTCTAGTTCGTTAAGTAGTTAGGTATCACGTGAAATTATATTCGTCAGTATACACAATTAACATATTGAGCAAATATGAAGATGAACTGAGCTACACAGGGAATCCAATTCGCCTTGTTCAAATTGATTTAGGTAGCTGTGTATACAGACTCCAACAGAATATTACCGAGTTTCAAGCTCGTATTCAAATTAGATTCA